ACCCCCACCTGCACAGACTCAGCACAGCAAACCTGAAGCTGTGGCTGGTCCTCAGGACTCTTTATTTCCTCTCAAATCTTTCTAATCAACCCCATGTGCTAAGGTAAAAAAAATAATTTCATATGTGGATGATTATTCTCAACAGAGAAGCAGACATTGTTCTCAGGAAAACACAAAGTGCAGGCAGGGGTGGAGTCAGCCTCACCTCCTCTGGAGCAGGAAAGTCACCAGGGAGAGACACAGGTCAGTGTGGGGAGGGTCCTGGTGGGCAGGGCTGGGCCAGTCTCCCCACCTCCTCACGTTATGCTGATATGAGCACAGACACATGTAGATGCCCTTTGCAGCCAGAGAACCCAGAAGATCTGGTATATATATATATATATATATATATATATATATATGCTACTCCTTAGCATCTACTTCCAGAATATAAAAAGACTAATTTAAAGGGAGACATGCACTCCCACGTTGATTGCAGCATTATTTTCAGTAGCCAAGTTGTGGAAACAACTCAAATTCCCCAAAACAGATAATATATCAAGGAGATATGGTCTGTCTACACTGTGGAATACTACTCAGTGTTCAAAGAAGATAAACTCAGGGCCTCCCTGGTGGCACAAGGTGTTAAGCACCGCACTATGAAGCAATCCACAGCTTCTGCAGCACGAATTCGATCTCTGGCCGGCACAAGTTCAATCCCCAATTATATATATGGATTGAACTTGTGCTGCATCTCTCTTTTTATATATATATATACTTATATATATATTTATATATATAAATTTTATATATATATTTATATATATAAAGTAATATTGGTTTACATCATTGTTGGAAGTGTAAGATGAGCCCCTTCAGGTGTTTTTAATACACCACACCCACCACCCAAACCCCCATAATCCAGCCCTGTGCTCCTCCACACTTTGTTTTTGCTCTTCCCACTTCCCCTCTGGTAGCTGCAGTTCTAGTCAGATTTCAAGGGTTAGTTTTTTAGTTTGACTTTATCTGAGCTTTTGTTTGGTTTCTCTATATTCCGCATAGAAGTGATACAAGTAGTATTTGTCTTTCTCCCTCAGACTTAGTTTGCTTAGCATAATCCCTTCCAGCTCCATGTTTGGCCTGAAGAAAATACACTGCTGAGGGGAGCAGCGGGCAAGACAGGAGAGGTCTGCTGCGCCATGTGGGTTGCTCCACTGCTGGCCAGAGATCGAATTCGTGCTGCAGAAGCTGTGGATTGCTTCATATAGTGCGGTGCTTAACACCTTGTGCCACCAGGGAGGCCCTGAGTTTATCTTCTTTGAACACTGAGTAGTATTCCACAGTGTAGACAGACCATATCTCCTTGATATATTATCTGTTTTGGGGAATTTGAGTTGTTTCCACAACTTGGCTACTGAAAATAATGCTGCAATCAACATGGGAGTGCATGTCTCCCTTTAAATTAGTCTTTTTATAGTCTGGAAGTAGATGCTAAGGAGTAGAATTGCTGGATCACATGGCAGATCCATTTTTAATCTTTTTTTTTTAATTTTTTTCATTTAATTTTTTTTTACATAGAAGAACTGGGGTGTAGGTCAGAGGTGCAGGGGTGAAACTCTTCACCAGAGAGAGTGGGGAGCAGAACAGGTGGATCTACTGAAATACACTGCTGAGGGGAGCAGTGGGCGAGACAGGAGAGGTCTGCACCATGTTGGTTATCTCCCTGGCCAGGGTTTAAACTCAGGCCACAGCAGTGATAGTACTGAGACTTAACCCCTAGGTCAACAGGGAGGCCCCATTTTTAATATTTGAGAAACCGCCATTTCCTTTTCCATCGGAGCTGGACCAGTGTGCATTCCCACCAACAGTGTAGAACTTTCCCCTTTTTCTCCACATCCTGTTTCTGGTCTTTTTGTTTTGGGCCATTCTCACAGGTATGAGGTTGTGTCTCATTGTGGATTAACTACGGGATACTGAGGTCACAAAATGGGGATCAGAAGAAATCTGCATCTCTTAGTCCATGCAAGGTAGCTATGTCACACTGTAAAGGAAAAAAATATCAGGAACACATTCAGGTGAGGCACGAAAGTGTTGATATTCTCTTTTTTTTTTTATAAAGATTTATTTATTTATTCATACAAGCACTGGGTACAGTCAAAAGCGTGGGAGGGTGAGAGAAATCACCAGAGCCAGAGAAGGGAACAGAACAGGCAGAGTGACGAAATACACTGCTGAGGAGAGCAGCGGGTGTGGCAGGAGAGGTCTGTCGCACCATGTGGGACCCTCGCCGGTGGCTGGGGATCGAACCGGTGCCTCAGAGGCTGTGGACAGCTTCACAGCCCAGCGCTCAACCGGTCTGCCACCAAGGGAAGCCCGTGTTGACATTCTCAATAGTCCACTGCATCCTCAGAATGTCCCCCTCACAGCTTCCCCATAACCTGGCCCCATCCTCTTTGCCCCAGCCCCTCCACTGCAGGCCTCCAGGGTCTGACCTATGCTATGAGGCACAACAGGGCCCTGGGCACTGTCATGCCTGAGTTATAACAAAACAGAACCAGGTCAGGGTCCACAGGAGATGAGAATGAAGGAGGAACTGACGGGTCAGCTTATCCTGTGGGCTCCATCTACACTATCCCAAGGGTCTGAGTAATCATAAACCTGATCCATTTACCCCCAGTCTGGGAGTAGCTTCCTCCTTTCCAACCTGTGGGAATAAAACATCATGTGAGACCATGGAGGGGCCAGGCCTTGAAGTCTTAAAGGAATCCCCTAATCTAGACCACAGGAACATTTCCAGAACTGTGAATGAAGACCCAGGTCAGGACTGGGAAATATGACAAAAGGAGATCAAGGGAGACTGGGCTTACTGCCTCCTGGAGTCTGTCCCAGGCAGGAAACTCGCCCTCTGATATTTTCTGGGAATCAGGTCCCTATAACAAGAACTACCAATGAGAACAAGTTGATTCACTTTCACATGTGCTTTACAAAGACTAAGTGTTAGCAATCAGCTCCAGATTGGGCAACAGGTGTGCGGATGGTATTTCCATTAACCAGGTAGGGCAAGTTCTATGTGGGACTTGAAAGCCCCCAGTGGACAAGATCCCCCAACTCCCTTCCCTACCTGAGCGCTTTTTCCTCCACATCACAGCTGCAGCCACCGCAGCTCCAGGGAACACAGCTCCAAGGAGAACCAGGCCAGCAATGATGCCCGCGGTGGGGATGGAGGACTCAGGGGGCACGGGAAGGGAAGGGAAGGGAAGGGAAGGGAAGGGAAGGGAAGGGAAGGAAAAGGGAAGGGAAGGGAAGGGAAGGAAGGGAAGGGAAGGGAAGGGAAGGGAAGGGAAGGGAAGGGAAGGGAAGGGAAGGAAGGGAAGGGAAGGGAAGGGAAGGAAAGAGAAGGGAAGGGGAGACCCTGAACTCCAGGCCTCAGTCTGACCCTTTGAAAGTCTCCAGAAGGGCTCCTGGTTCCCTTGAGAACAGGGTCTGTGCCCATGTCCCCCCTCTCACCCCATCTCAGGAATCGGGGGTCCAGCAGCCCCTCATGCTGCACATGACATGTGTATCTCTGCTCCTCTCCAGAAGGCACCTCCACAGCCGCCCACTTCTGGAAGATTCTGCTCCCCCCACCCCCTCAACCCAGCCCCAGGCCTGGTCTCCACCAGCTCTGTGTCCTGGGCCAGGTCCTCCCCATCTCACTGCCAGGTCAGGGTGATGTCCGCTGGGTAGAAGCCCAGGGACCAGCACCTCAGGGTGACCTCATGCTGAGAGATGGGTCACCTGTGCCCTTTGGGAGCCTGAGTGGGAAGAATCGTAAATTTCATGCTTTTTGTTTCCTCTATGGACACTGAAGCAGCCTCATGACCATCCTCAGACTGCACAGGACAACATGCTTGGAGGGAGGTAGCACAAACCCCAGAAACCAGCCTGGTCTGGGAGACCGGGATAGCAGGTGAGAGCCCAGGGTGGGATGCAGGTCTCTGAGCATTTTGTTGCTGACCTGGGTGGAGGGCGATGACACAGACAGGCAGGAGTGAGATCTCCAAAAATGCTCTGACCAAAAAACAAGATCTCGAGAGAGAAACTCGTTGCTCCTAAGATGGCGCCGGTCAAAAGGATCCTGTGAAGGGTGATTTCAGGGATGGTCTCCCCTCTTTCTCAGGACAAACTGGATTCCTTAACTGTCCTTCAGAAAAAGCAGGAGCCTCCAGGCCAGTCTCCATCCCAGAGCTGGAAAACGTGGCCGACAGCTCCCTCTCTGGCCAGAAGGGGGCGCTTCCTCACCATGATGCCATTTCCCTGCGGGGTGCGCGCCTCAGGGAGATCAAAGGCCCCGCAGCCCTCTCACCTCTGAGCTGCGGCGCCTCCTTCCCCATCCCCAGGAGTCTGGGGGCCCCTCCCCGCACCCGCCCCCCAGGCTGCTCCCGTCCTGCTCTGCCCGACCTTCCCCCTCCCCCTCGCGCCGGGGAGCTGAGCCGCGGGCCTGCCGGGTCCAGGCGCGCAGGTCCCCGCCCAGGGCGCGTCCCCGGCGCCGTCGTGGGGAACTGGTCGTGCCCGCGGGGGAGGCGCCGTCGGGCCCCGCGGCGCAGCCCAGAGTCCTCTGGACCGTGGGAGACCCTGAGCCCGCCCTGCAGTCACCCCGTGGTCTCCGCCCGCACCCGATCTCCCGCCCTGAATAATCCCAAACTTAAATAAAACCTAAAGGGTGAAAGTCCCGCGGGCTCTTCCCTGGTCAAGGGGCCTGGGAGGGGCCACGGCCTCGGGGGTCACGGGGCCCCGAGACTCGGGGCGGGGGGTGGGGCGGGAGCGGTGACCCGCCCCGGCCCGCGCTGCTCCCCGGCCCGGCTCTGGCTGCGGCGGCCCCGCGGGGCCTCCAGGAGCGCTTGGAGCCTCCGCGCCGAGTGTCTGCGGAGCCGCGTCTCCTCGCCCGACCCTCCCGCCCGCCCGCCCGCCCGCCCAGGGGCCCGCGGCTCCGCGCTCTGGCCCGGGGAGTCGCCGTCGAACCCCGAACTGCGTGTCGTCCACGCAGCCCCTGCGAGGTACCGCGGCTCCCCGAGGCCGGGCGGGACATCACCATTTCTAACACCCTCAGAGAGGGGGAGCCTGGGGGCGGGGAGGGGTGAAAGCCGGGCGGACCCTCCTCCCGGGGCAGGTCCTGAGTCCCGGGGAGATGGGGCAGGGGAGAAAGTGTCCAGGAGGGAGGGAGCTCCAGAGACTGAACATGGGCAGCGGGTCCAGAAGGGGCAAGACTCAGGGGACAAAAGGAGGAGGCAAGGTGGTGAGACAGGGCAAGCTAGGGTTAATAGGCAGTTTTAGGGATAGTGCAGGAGGGGACCTCTGAAAAATTTAGGGAGGCTTCAGAGATAAGGACAAGCAAGGGAAAGTAACCCATTCCATTAGGAAAAACAAACATGCCAGGACCAAGGACAACATTGTTAACGCTGGTCCTGGTTTCCTTCAGGTGGTAAAGGGGGGTAGAGATTGGAGAAATGGAGAGTGGTTTAATTTATGGACACCTTAGAAGGGCAGCTGTTTAACTTCAATGCAGGGATGTCCATCCAGAAGACTGGGCCATAAATTTAAAGATGCAACAAATGGGGAAAGAGAAAGCTGTTAGATAAGGGATGTGAAGATCCCCCACTCAGTAGCAAATTAAGTGAGACAGCCGAGAACTAACCAATCACAAAGAGACTGGGGCAGCTTTAGAATAATGAGGGAAAAAAGGTCTATATTCCCTAAGACACGACTCCACTTTGGCTTCCTTGCCCCTCCCAGGCCTCCAGGCCTGGGAGTCCCACTTTATTTCTGTTCTTTTTCTCCTCAATAAACTTTTTCTTTCTCTAAACAAACTGCCTCTTCTCGCTTGCTTGCCTGAGCGTCTGCGAAGTTCCTGCTGCGGCTTCGTGAGACACCAACCCGTGGGGGTCTAGCGGCTGGGGCTCAGCACTGCCCTGCAGCCTGGAATCCAATCCCGGCTGGGAGACTAGGCCTGACAATTCCGGTATCAGTGTGGGGGGGGGGGCAGAAAGGGACCAGGACTGAGGGGCGCCACGGGGGTGACAGAGGGGCCTAAGGCAGCAGCTTCCTCTGCAGAAGCCTTTTCCCTCCACCCTGCTCTCACCAGCCCAGGTGTCTGTCTGGGCCAGAGCCCTGGAGAGAAGCAGCAGGAGGGTTGGGGGCCCCATGACCAGCACTGCTGGGGTCTGGGGAGCTTCTGGCTCTAGGCTGTGGGTGGAGACTTACCTGGGCAGGCAGTGATGCTGACTGGTTCTCTGGGAACCTCCAGGCACTGGGCACTGAGAACTGGGGAGGAGTCACAAGTGTCCAGGTCCCAGCACAGGTGGTGGAGACAGAAGGGAGGCTAAGGGGGCAGTGGGGTGTCCCCAACAGTAACCTTCCTGCCCTAGACACAGCCCTGGGGCCTGGAACTATGAGAACCAGACTAGGGCCTTGGGGCTTTGCTCTGGCCCCTCCTCTCCTCACCCAAAGCTTCCTCACCCTGTCTTGGTGACCCAAGCGCTGGGTCTGCGATTCTCAGTCATTTTCCATTCCGGATCCGTGTCCAGTCTGACAAATTAGGGAGGACGCCAAGTATAATCTTGTTTAGGAGGTATCGCTCCCCATATTTACCACCCTGGGAATAAAGCTGAGTTTGATCATGTAGCTGTTTATTTAGAATAATAGTAATAATCCAATGCCTGTTAATAGAACGTGTTCTTAAGAAAAATAAATTCTTTCTGAAAATAATCAGGGCAATGATTATTTGGAACGATATTGTGGAAATCCATAATCCATAATCCATTCCATAATACATTTCCATCCACTCCAAAGAGTGGGTCTTTCACGTTTTTAATGTTTGCAGTTGTCTTTCTTATCTGTGTCATTGTTTTTCTTGTCTGTCTCATTAGAAGACAGTTGGATTTTCATGCTTCCTTCTGCATTTAGCTGTGGTTCTGGTTGAAGTCTATGAAAAAATGTATACAGCCTCACACATATGTTGAAGTAGTGTTTTCACATTATTGTGAAAATAATAATACTAAATTAAATTATAATACTAATACTAATAATTATTATATATATAATAATATATAGTAATGGTATAATAATCATAGTAATGATATATAATTGTTATTATTATAATAATACTAAAGTAAATCTACACAGGTGGTATTTTCTCCAAGGTTATTTATAAAGTGAAACCTGACAGAATCTCATTGAATATTTCTTCTTTTTTAAATATATTTTTTTAAGATTTATTTATTTTTATAAAAGCACTGGGTACAGTCAGAAGCGCGGGAGGGTGAGAGAATCCACCAGAACCAGAGTGGGGAGCAGAACAGGCAGATTGATGAAATACACTGCTGAGGGGAGCAGAGGGGGTGGCAGGAGAGGTCTGCGCCCCATATGGGACAATTGCCGGCCTGCTGGGGATCAAACCAGCGCTGCAGAAGCTGCGGACAGCTCCGCAGCCCAGCGCTCAACTGCTGCGCCACCGGCGAGGCCCTCATTGAATATTTCTTATTCTGTTACATTTCCATAGTCCTCTCTTACATAGTGATGGGGTCTTGTGCTAATGTGTGATTTTTTTTAAAGTAATATATTGTTCCACTAATTTATAAGACTATTCAGTGTTCATTACACCAGAGTCAAATTATTTTTAAAAATTCATTTTATTTTTCACCACAAATCCAGAAAGTAAAAGTAGTACTGGAAGTTGTCAAGTTAGTGATAGGACACAATATTCCATAATTCTGTTTTTTTCTGAGCACTCACATTTGGTCAAGGTGAAGTTACTCTCAGTTATCAATTGTCAGTTGATTTTCTCAAAGGAGCACACACTCATTTTCAGGACAATGTCTGCTCATTAACCAAATCAAATAGCCACAGATTCTGTCATTCATTCCTTCTTATGAAGATGGTATTGCCTACAAAAAAGAAAAATAGTCTAATCCATCTCATGCAAATATTTTTCTTGGCACATTTTTCTTAGATGGGAACACAGCAGGAGTGTTGCATTTGTACTTGTGTGTCATCGCATCAGGTGCTGTAAAATGCGGATTTGAGGATGATAGAATAATGAAGATAATGTTTAATGCTCAACCAAGACACTTTGAAATGAAACTGGCTTGGAGTTGTGTTTCTGAGGCAGGCAGTTGTGAAGAATAACTACTATTGCAGTTAGTAATATAAGCTCCATTTTAATAAGTTTTACCTCAGCAGATGTCAAAATAGTGAAAAAGCCAACTGTTTCAAAAAACAGTTTTGAAAACAGTTTTGACCTAATGGATCCTGTGACAGGTTCTGGGTGACTTCAAGGATTCCACAAACACACTTTTTTTTTATAATAAATTTTATTTTTATATTCCCCATACAATTGCAACCCCCTTATTTTGACCCCAATCCCTCCCCTCCCCTCCCCCCACCTCCCATAGAGTGTCTTGGGTTCATAGTTGTTTGTCCACAACCACACTTTGAGAAATTCTTTTCTCTCAGTGAACCAGGCAGCATGTCCCAAGTGTTCTCTGCCTTTTTCTCCTCGTCACTTCCCAGCATCCCTCTCCCTGGCTGGCTCCTGCCTCCCCAAGCTGCCTCCCCTGCAGATACAATGGAGAGCAGAGAGAGAACCCTGCAGACATGGAGCTTGCTCTGTCATGAGAGATGGACACTGAGTAAAGGCGACAAAGACACGTGTAAACCTGACCTGAGCCAAGGGCTGGGAGGAAGGAACGTGTTTATTGTGAAAGCAGAGAAGCAGGAGCACTAACACTATTATCAATGGTATCAAGAGATGTAAAAAATATATTAAAAACAGGGCCTCCTGGTTTAAGTCTATCACTGCTTAGATCTGAGTTTGATCCCTGGCCAGGGAGCAACCCACATGGGGCAGCAGACCTCTCCTGTCTCCCACCACTGCCCTCAGTAGTGGATTTCAGTGGATCGGCCTGTTCTGCTCCCTACTCTGTGTCTGATGAATCCTCCCACCCTCTGGCCTATATCCCAGTTCTTGTACACATAAATAAATGTAAAATGAATCTTAAAATGTAAAAATGAATCTTAAAAACAAACAAACAAGGAAATAACATGTAGCATCAAGTACATGATCCATCTCGGACCCAGCAAAGAGCAGAGGCTGGGGACCCAGACGTGGTGCAGGTGCAACAAGACACAATGGGGGATTCAGTCAGCTAGAGTCAGGCTTTGTTGTCAAATGAGTTTGATGTCAAACTAGAGAGGGTCTGTCCACCACCCAGTGTTGCTGCGCCAGGAAACCTGGGCTGGTCTGCAGCCCCAGCCAGTAGTCAGGCACCGCCTGGGAGTCTCAAGGGATAGCTTTAAGTTTGGCTTAATCTAGCCCTTTGTTTAACTTTTCTATATCCATATATCTAAGTGACATATTTGTCTTTCTCCTTTGGGCTTATTTCCATTAGCTCCATCCATGTTGCCCCAGATGGCATGAGTTTATGTTTGTTGATGAGTAGTATTCCATTACCTATGTACCACCCTTCCCACAGCTTGGCTACTGTAAATAGTGCTGCAGTGATCAGCGGGTGCAGGTTTCCTGTGAAGTAGTATAACGCCCTCTGCAGGTGTGCTGGCGCCTGCCGCCCTAATGGGAGCCGGAGTCTCTGAGAGCACCTGCTTACTCTGCACAGGGGGTTCCGGGGGGTTAGAAGTTCTGCAAACAAAACTTCTTCCCCAAATTAACTCCTGTTCCCCGAGGACATGCTAACTTGTGGCATGATCCCTACTAACTAGAAAAACTTGTTCCAGCAGTAACTTATTCATGTGTATAAGCATAAACAGAATTGCACGCTGTTTCCTTATCCGTTTGTTCATATCTTTAATAAGAGCTTGGGCTGGGAGAGTGAGAGGCAGAGCTGCTCTAGAGGGCTCTCCCCAGCCTCCCCCTGCTGCTAATTCATTTAGACTCCAAGTCTTCCTTCATAGCTGAGAACTTCTCATGGGCTGTCTGAGACAGGGTAGATACTGTTGGGTCCTATGACAGACCCACAGTTAATTATCTAAGAAATCTGGATACTGTTTTCCATCAAGGCTGAACCAGTCTACACTCCACAAAACAATGCAGGACTGTTCCCTTGTCTCCATGTCCTGCCAGCTCTTGTTACATCTGGTCTTTTTGATATGGGCCCTTCTCACAGGTGTAAAGTGGTTTCTCGTTGTGTTTTGAATCAGAGGATCTTGAATGGATCAGGAAGATGGGATACACTTCACTCCAGTGAGAATGGCCCACATTAAAAACCCAAAAACAACAAATACTGGAGAGGATGTGGAGATAGAGGAAGCCTCTTGCACTGTTGGTGAGAATGTGAACTGGTCCAGCCACTGTGGAAGGCTGTGTGGAGATTCCTCAGAATACTGAAAATGGGCCTACGATGATCCAGGGATTCCACTCCTAGGAATCTACCCAAAGGACACAAAAACATTAATTAAAAGGGGTATCTGCACCCCTATGTTTATTGCAGCACTATTTATAATAGGGAAGATATGGAAACAACCAAATCCAAAAAATAGATGACTGGATCAAGAAGATGTGGTACATGTACACAATGGAATAGTATTCAGCAATCATTAAGATCATCCTCAAATCCGCATTCTAAAATACCTGCTGTGCTGACCTGGAAGGACAAAGGGAGCTCTTCTGCATTCCCAGCACTGTGTCCTGGCAGCAGGGTGGTCCCCAGGAAAGGGGGTTTCAGGTTTCCTGCCCCTCCAAGAGAGGTTGGAGCTGAGCTGGGAGAGGAAGAAGAAGCTGCAGAAGGGATGGAGGAAGGAAGGAAGCAGGATGGAGCCAGAAGGAGACCTGGAGGAGGCACATGGAGCCTAGAGACACGTGGAGAAACTGCGGGTGCCCTTTGGTCATGGGCTGGGTGACACAGATGTGGGTGAGAGACTGTGAGGAGGTGACAATGGTGGATCATGTCTTGATTTTGCTCTATTCCTCCCAGACTTGTCTGGTTGTTTCTGATCCTTTCCTGTGGGTCCCCACTGAAAGGTGCTTTGGACTTGGGGCAGGTTTTGGGCGTTGCTCTGGGCCAATTCCACTTGGGTGGACTTCGGGTGCCTAAGATCATCCTCAAATCCACATTCTAATATATCTGGTGTGCAGGGAGAAGGGCACTCCAGACACCACAAACCTGCCTGCTCTAAATAGGTTCTGCCATCCACCACAACACAAAACATAAGAGATTTTAATGAAAAGGAACTTTATTTTATTTTATTTTTTATTTATGTAAGAACCGGGTACAGTCCATATGTGCAGGAGGGTGAGAGGATTCACCAGAGACAGAGTGGGGAACAGAACAGGCAGACTGACTAAATACACTGCTGAAGGGAGTAGTGGGCGAGACAGGAGAGGTCTGTTCGCCATGTGGGTTGTTCCAAGGCCGGTGGGGATTGAACTGGCACTGCAGAGGCTGCGGACAGCTTCACAGCACTGTGCTCAACCACCTGTGCCACCAGAGAGACCCTGGAAAGGAACTTTAATACAATTAGTAAACAATACAGTGTCACAAGAGTGATAGATAAGCTTCAGTCAGAAGTTGTCTCTCAAAGAGAATTGTATTCCTATATTGGTCACACACACACTTAAGTTCATACAGGCAAGCCAACCCCAAGTTCCCAAAGTACATTTGACTGAAGACAGTGGTTGTGAAGTGTCTTAGCCGAGCCTTCCACCTAAGTGGAAGTCCTTAGGCCGTGGAAGTCTCTAGGCTCAAGGGCCCGCAGTGCAGAGGGTCGTGCAGGGTGTTGAGCTGATAGACCCCTTGTGCTGCTGTCAGGGAGCAGGCCACTGGGGTCGCGGGGAGCAGAGCCTGGAAGTGCAGGTTTCCTGGTGTCCTGAACCCAGGAGCAAGCTAGGAGCAGGAGCGAGGAGAGGTTTCTCTGGAGAGCGAGTCTGAGTCCAAAGGGAGGCAGCGAGCTGGACTCCGGAAGAGTAGCCTCCAGCAAGTCTTTTGCTCCGAGCCAGTTGTTAGGACTGCTCTGAGTCTGCTTCAGGGAGCTGCTCTTATAGCTTCTTATCAGGTTTAGGCTCAGGCACCGTCTGCTTTATTAGTCTTTACCACTCAGTATATGGCCTCAGCTGCTTTCACTCACAGGCCTTGCAGGCACCTTAACATTGTCAATTTTACTTGTAAGTTTTATATGTTACATCAACTAACAGGGGCACGGAGTCAGGAACGCAGCGTCCCACCAACCTGATCTGGCCGTCGGGGTGGAGGGGGTGGGGGTGCGCGCAGGCACAGAATCGCAGCATCCCACGATTCGGTCCTGGCCTTTAGTACGGGGCAAACAAGCGAGAGGGACGTCTCCAGTACTCCTTTGTGGCCTAATATTCGGGCACCTAGTCTGGACAGCCGTCCCCAAACCCGGGGTCTAGGTGTAACTAGAGTTGGCTGACGTGGACCCACCATGGCTTAAGGAACAGCCAACCGAGGGAGGAGTTAGGTGAGGAGATGAATAGCCAGAGGCGAGGGCCTCCTAGGAAGGCGGGTCAGGCAGGTGACTCACCCCAGAGTCAAGGCCGGTGGTGGCTGAGGCATCTGCCATGGAGAGGAGAGGTCCCAGGAATGGGAAGGAGGCCCAGTGCCGGGGGACACAGCCTTCCGGGTTTCGGGCACCAAGATGAAAGTTTTGGCATGATAAAGAAAAGAGCCCCGCCAAGCTTTCCCAAAGGAAGGGAAAATTTATTGCACCCCAGGCGAAATTCAAAGACCCAAGGTGGAGAACCCTGTGTGGAGTCGCACACGTTGCCAGGGGGAGGCAGGCTTTACAGGGTGAGGAGAGGTAAGGTGGGAGACTGGGTTTGCAAGGGTGGGAAAAGATTCTAGGGCGGGGAGGGGTTCATTGTCTGAATTTTCTAGGCAGGCTTCTGCATTCTTGCCCCAGGTGGGCTTCCTCGTGGGCTTTTGCATTCTGGCCTCTTGCATGGACCTTTCAGGCTCCATTCTAAACTCACTCAATCGGAATTTGCCGGCATGGGATGGGGGGAGGAAGGACCGTGGCTCTGAGCTCCTGCCTCTTTACACTACTTTCCGGAAGATTCTGCTACCCAGCCACATGGAGAACCTGTGTACTAAACAGATCATTCGTAAGCACCCATCAAATTTGAAAGGTCTGGCGGGAACCAGAGCTACTAGGGTGAAAAGGCATCTGGTAGGAAGCCACCTAAGGCTGAGAATGAGGACCTGCTGATACCATCAGAAAACAACTGTTCCTCATTACCTGCAAGCCCGGCTTCCCTCTTCCCATCCCATAAAAACCTGCCTTCCCCTGACAATAGGTGCGGCTTCACTGACCCCCACCTTGGGTCCGTGAAGTTTGCCCGGGAGTGCAATAAAGCCCCCCTTTAAACTTATTCTGATGTCCTCGTCTTTCCTTCCCTGTCTTCCCTTGCCAAAACTTTCAAAATTAGAACATCCCACTGGAAATTAAACTTTGAAGACAGAGACCATGTCCTACTGTGTCAGCGTCACATGGGATTTTGCCTGATACCTTATATATGCTCCATAAACGCTTGCTGAGGTGTGAATGGAACAGCCTAGCATTCTCTAGCTTTGCTCCTGTTAAAAATGGTGATATTAAGCACTCACTGAGCACTCCTTTTGGCTGCTCACTGTGCTGTTTTGTATGCATGATGTTGTTGATCTTGCACATTAACCCCATAGGACACTGAAGAAGTTGCAAATGCAAAGAGGTTGGCACAAGGTCACCTAGATTGCACCTGGGCTCATCCCAACACTGATGCCAAAGCCTGTACTTGTTGATAGAGATGTGATATTCTGATTTACAAACCCTTTAGCACACTGCTAGCCAGAGCTACCTTAGGCCAGGTAACTTATGTGGGATCATGCCCTCCATCTGTTCCCATTTCTTTCCTTTCAGACATGGTTGCAGTTCTAGGGGAGACCTATGGAGTCCATGCCCTGAAGCTCCTCAGACACCCGATGAGGAGGGATCCAGAGGTTGCCCAGATCCTACAGTAGGTGCCAGCCCTGCCTGGGGCTTGGGGGCATTCTCTGGGGATCCTGCTCTCTCTGGAGTCATATTGTATCAGACTGTTTCCTCTGGGGAGCTCATCCTGATACTTTGGTCATGGTGCTGCACAGGCTGGGCACTGCCCGACTCCACTGGTGCCATTCATATAGACAGCATGACAATCCCTGGGTAGCGCCATGCAGTGGCCTCCACAGAGCTCTGTGCCTTCACTGAGCTCCTATAACATGTACTAGCTGTACCCCTCACCCCCATGGCAGTGCCTCTGACTACCCTGCCCACATGCCCTGCAAGCAGGAGCCATGTCCTTGGCTCGTGCTCTTCTGCTCAGTTCCTGCCACCGGCCTGCCAGTAACAGGCATCCCATTAGGGCTTGCGGCTCCCTTGCTGCTCCGTCACCTCTCGTGGCCTTGCTCTAGCTGGACCTTTTGTCTGCTTCTTCTGCCTCCTCCCAATACCTAAGTGCCGCCTTCTGTCTACAGGGAACGTTCCTGGATCTCACTGTCCACCCTCGACCTAGGCAAGCTCCAGAGTCGGCCTCAGGGCTCCCTGGGCCACAAGTATCTCTGTTTCCTGCACGAGAATGTGAGTTTCCAGCTTCTGCACATCTGGCGGTCACCAGGAAGGGCAGAGTGAAGTCTGAACTGCCACCGGGGACAGGAGTGCTTGTCAGCCTCTGTGCCAAGGCTTTGTCATTTTCTCTGGGGCAGGCAGATGGGCTGTGAGCATCGCTTCTATGAAATATATTGGCCAGCATTTATTCACCTCTTACTGCGTGTCAGATGCCCCCAGCAATGCTATCAAGTCTGTTCTATTCTTATCCCCTTTCCATGGAGGAGAAGGCAGGCTCCGCGCAGTTAAGCAACTTGCTGCCTTCACACAGCCAGTGTTCATGGAGGCAAACCCAGATCATGTTCTTAACTGCCGGTGCACTGTGTCCCCCTGTTTCGGGGGGACAGTGTTTCTCTCCCTTGGCGATGGCAAAACTGGCACTCCCAGCCCGAGGCAGGAAGGATAGTGGCTGGGGTGGGGAACCCCAACTCCTGAGGAACTCCTCTTGTCAAGCACCTGCCCCGTGCTGGCTGTTGTTGCAGGTGCTGGGGAAGTAGACAACCAGCCAGGTAGCTCCTGCCCTCACGGTGCTCATTTTGTAGTTGGGGAGGCAGACAGGAAAGCTGTAAAATAAGAAAATTCACATAAGGATTCAGGCGGATACTAGCAGTAATGAAAACGTGCCAGAACGGTTGGTACGCAGGGAACGAAACCAGCGAAGAGCCTGCCCGTGTGGAGCGTCCATCGAGCAGATGGTGAGGCCGGCCAGTGTGATTGGGACAAGGGCGGGGTGGGACCTTGGCTGCCTCTCACAGAGGGGTCGGGAGAGACCCCACTGAGGAGACGCAGGAGAAGAGAGGAGCCCGCCCTGAGGAGAGCAAGGAGGAACATTCCCGCCAGTGCCAGGCTGTGCTTAAGGACAACAGGCCTAGAGGTGTGCTCTAGGGGAGGCAGCCGGTGGGCTGGAAGGTCACCTGCGCCAGGGCCTGCAGCCACGGAAAGGGGTCTGGATTTTGTCAGAGGAGCACTGGGAGACCCAGGAGGGTTCCAAGCAGGACAGTAATGTGATCTAATTTATTAAAGAATTTGGGGTACAGCTGGACCCCTTCCCACTCCCCGCACATACACTCTTGGCAGAGCACCTCTGGCAAGCTGCAGAAGCCACCCAGACTGGAGGAGGCGAAGGATGCATGGAGGTTGCTTTAGAAAAGGGTTTTTCAACTTTGACACCAATGACGTTTGGGGCCAGATGATGCTCAATTGTGGGAGGTGTTCTGTGCCCTGTAGGATGTTGGGCAGCTTCCCTGGCCCCTACCTACCCAGCCTGGCCAGTAGGTTGAGGAGCACTCAGCCGCTAAGCTGTGGCCACCTCAGATATCCCCAGGCCTTGCAAATGCTCCCTGCTGAACAACTGAGAACCACCGTTCTAGAAGCTACTGTCCCTGAGACACTCTGCCCCCCATGCTGTCCTGACGCCGGGGCCCCCGGCCCCTTTCACACCCTCTCCCTCAGACTTCATGAGGACCGAGTTGTTTCATCAAGTTGGGGTGATCTGCCCCAAGTGCCACCCAGGGAGGGACAGTCTCCTCAAGTTCCCCTGAACCCTTTATCCTGTGGCTGTGGAGGGGAAGGGACAACCAGCGCCTCCCTGGACCTTGCCCAGTCACAGCCCTCTTGGTGGTGACAGCCCTGAGATGATGCCACTTCTGGGGCCCGGAATCCAGCAGCCCACAGGATGTGAAGGACACATTTGTCCCAGCAGAGATACATATCGAGGCTTAAAGTGAAGGCACCCTCCCCAAGGCTGGCACGGCAGGGGTAGTCCCCCTGTGGCATCAAGATCATGGTAGGACTAGAGTTCAGAGCGGCCTGCCGCTCTTCCCTGCTTTATGGCCCTGGGTGAATCATAACACCCCTCTGTACCCAGATCCCTTATCTGAGGGCAGGGGACCTAAGGGTTATCTTCCGCAGCGTTTCTGGGGTTTGGCAATGATGGACGTCAGGCCACTGGCTTGGGAATGCAGCGGACTTTGTTTCAAATGCTGACTCGGTTATCTGATCAGCAGTGGCTCTGGGACGAGCTGCTCCCTCTCTCTGAGCCACGATTTTCTTATCTGTATCAGAGGCTCCTGGCAGGATCCCACCAGAAGATCATGAGGATCCCCCCAGAGGTCAATGAGAACATAGGCAAGGGATGTCGTGGGGTGCTGGCACCGGGAGGGACTCAGTTAACACACTGCCAACCCTCTGATCCCCTTGGGCTTTGTGTAGCAGGTGGGGCCCTGCTGATGAAAGCTGGCCTGGGGCCCGGTGAAGCTGCAGACCCGAGCCCAGCCCCCGACCTTGAGAACACCCCATCCCTCTACCTCTAGCAGACTATGGCTTTACTTTGGGGACAGGAAGACCAGGCTGTACCCACCCAGGTGCAACTGGGGACTCAGAGAGGCAGTAGGTGGGACTGGCCTTAGGCCCCTTGCGTTCAGGGGTCACTCACCAGACCCTGCTGGGGAAGCCAGGCCAGGCCTGCAACCTGCAGGACCACCTGGTGGGCACAAGCTCACACCATCTGTTTGCAGGAAGCCAGGCCTTAGCCAGGCCCTAGCCTGGCCCCAGCAGGGCATGCTGGCAGTGGTGTGTTCACACCAGCCCCACTGCGGGAGACAGGTATAGGCCAGGATGCTTCAGGAGCTGCCCGGTGTGGGCATTTCACACCCCCACTGCTGGAGAAGCCAAGACAGGGGGATGATCCTACAGGCTTGATTGTATTTTTTTTTTTATATTCTTCTTTTTTTATTTTTTAACTTCACTTTTCACTTGTAAACACTATTTGCTTCCTCCCACCCCATCAGGTACAGTCCCCTAGAGTTTCCTTCTGCAAGGCACCCGTGCACCATCACCTCAGTCCCCTGTGCTCCTCCCTCCTTCCCTCTGGTCCTTCTTCTACCTCCTCCCCTGCAGGTGTCTCTGATTAAGGCCTCTGACTTAGGATCCCGCACACTTCTTTGAGGACTCTGAGGCAAGAAGAGTGCTGCTGGAGGAACCAGACAATGACCAGGATGCTGCACCCCATGAGGATGGTGCTGAGATTACCCCACCCTTGCTGGGAGAGCAAGGCCGTGCCCCAGAGAATGCAGCCTGTGCAGGCGATCCTGAGCTCACACCAGACCTGCTGGAGGATCAGCCCTGGCCAGCTTCCTGCAGGTTAAAGTGAGGGAGCTAAAGGAACAGCAGTTCTGCCTATGGAAGCAGGCCCTGCAGGGATTCATAGCACAAGCCGAGGGTGCTCACCTGACACCACCCCTCCAGGGACCCAGCCCCTCTGCCCTGTCCTGCCTGTCCTCATCAGGGACAACTGACCATTCAGCACTGCTCCACCCCCAACTTCTCCTCCTCCACCTCCCTAGCCACATGTCTTTCTTTAACTTCTACAAGGCCTCTACCCACAGACACCTGGCCCTTCTCTTGTAGTTCCAAATCTTGGTCTCCTAATTCAAGTTATTTTCATGTATTTCCTCCAAGATTTCTTGTTCACTGTACAAATGCTAATACACTTGTTCTCTCTTCACCCAAGTTGTCTTCTCCTTTGATGTCCATTCCCTTCACAGGGCTGGCCTCCTCCTCCCTGTGGCCTTGCAGATGACCAACTCCTCAGTGGGAGCCATTTAGCCAAACCACTACTGCCCAGCCCTCTCAGGCCATGATGCCCTCACCTGCCTGCCACCTCTGTTCCCATTTCTGCCTGGGGATCCCAAGGAAGGAACCTAATAAATGGTGACTCTGGGATCATCCCAACCACACATTAGATAGCATACATGGTATCTGTCTATTTGGGTTGGTTGGACTTCCGTGGTGGCCTAGGGGTAAAGTCTCAGCACTGCCATGGCTGAATCCTGAGTCAAGCCCAGGCCAGGGAGCAAACCCATCTATGGTGCAGCAGACCCCTCATGTCTTGCCCACAGTTCCCCCCAGTGGTGTAATTCAGTCAATCTGCCTGTTGTGAATCACACTCTGTCTCTGCTGAATCCTGAAATCCCTCCACACCTCTGCCCTACACCCCAGTTCTTCTACACCCAAAGAAAAATGATTATTTGCCATCTCTTGAATTTTAGGTATACAGTAGAGTAGGGTAAATGACTAATAGCTAATCAAATCAGATTTATATCATGACATCAGTGTAATCAGAACAGTATTACTATTGTATCCAACAGTCCATGTTATGAACATGTGTCCATAGAAGAATGTAGTTTAGGAAGAGGGTGTCATCCAGAGTGGAGCTGTAATGGGATATCCAACTTTACAATTTCATTGAATAGATTGTTGTCTATTATGGAATTATAATTATTAGGACACAAATGATCATTGTTGAATTATAGATGTCTTGATGCCAGGTTGTAGGTCATTAGGTAAAGCTTGTGACGTGTAGATGGCAGCACATAGTGCCGGATTTTGTTTGCAGATCCGGAAACATCCAGTGGTTAATATTTGAAGATAACTCGCCTCTTGGGCCATGTTTCTGCTGAACCCTGTTGTCAAGCCCTGCAAACAGTGGCTCCACATGGCCAGAGATGGATCAGCAGCCCTCAGGGCTGGTGCCTGGACCGTGGCCAGAACAGCCAGAGCACAGAGCTGTCCTGTGCCTCCCAGCAGGCCCTCTGTTCAGGTTCTGTGCTTCGTGATAGCTCAGCCCACGTGTTTAGACGGAGGTTCCATCAATAAAACCTTGCATTAGACTCCAGGGCCAAATTCAGGGCCTCCTCCCAGGGCCCAGTTTGTTTACACGCAACATGGATTGTGGCCATCAAGGTCATTTTCATCAACATTCAGGCAACCTGGAGCCAGGAAGGGCCTCTGTCCCCATGGGGTGCAGCCATCCCCTCACTCACTCTCACTGCCCTCACTGGAGAGCACAGGGCACAACCAGTCCTCCACTCCCAGCAACCCTGTCCCACAGCCCCTCAGCTGTATGAACTCTGCCCGACCGGCAGAAGAACCCTGGTGTCTCCAACTTGTTCTCACGGGGATGCCGCAGGGCCTGGGGACTGTCTGATCACCTAAGGGGAGCTGAGATAGAGTCAGCACCACTCGGGGAGCCCAGAGAGAAACAGAGGGGGACACAGAACACTGGGGCAGAAACGGGCATGAAGAGAAGGACCGGGACAAACAGAGAGAAGGAGCTGAGGACGGACCAAAAAGGCAGAGAGAAAATCAGAGTCAGAGGAACACAGAGACAGAAGAAAGGGAGAGTCAGCTAGCGTGGACAGGACAGCAAGGAGCTAATCACTGTAGGAGTGGACACCCCATGCCTCGGGCCTCATCATCCAGCCGTAACCCAGCCCTCAGTAAATAACACTGCCGGGCAGGGTCAGCAGACATCTGCGAGCAAGGAGGGCGCCCTGGGAACACTGTGGCCGGCACTCGCAGGATGTGTGTGGCTCTGGCCCTTTGATTCGGGCCCACAAGACCCCTGTAGGGCACGGCCAGAGAGGAGCAGGGCTGAGTTTGGGTGGATTCCACCTCTCAGGAGAACAGGCACACCGGGTGGGAGATGACTCTGCCCCCAGCAGGGCTGGCCGAGCCTGGGTGAGGCATGTGCAGGTGCCCTCCCCAAGGGGGGACCCTCCAAGTGCTGTGAGCCTGACACCAACCACCCTCCAAGGGCAGCAGAGAGGAGTGGCCCACTCCCCAGGACTGCCCCAGGGAGAGGCTCCATACTCTGGAGCTCCTCCAGGCCCATGGAGGACAGAAGCTTGGAGTTGCTGATACTGCCGGGCCTGCTCCCTGGCAGGGAGGATGAGCCAGGTCAGCAGCCAGAGGCCAGGGTACCCAGCAGGGGCCCTGGCTAAGACTCGCCATCCAAGGGCTCGGGGAGGCTGTGCTGCTGTATGTGTTGTGGACTGGGCCTGGCATGGAGGGTGAACAGGAAGGTCCCAGGTACCCATAGGGATGGGGGGGGGGCATCTGTCTGAGCAGGAAGTCCAGAGAAGGGGACCCAGGAAGTGACATCACCTCCATGAGATGACACGGCACAGAACTCAGAACGCTGGTCCCCAGGCAGCTGGGTTCTGAACACAAACTCTACCAGGCTCACGTGACTGGTATTCCTGGTCCAGGCACCATGCTTTCTTGCTCTATGCCCAGGTCCCCCCACACTGACCCAAAAAGAGGTCCCTGAAACGCATGTCACCCTCTGCTGAAAGGCATGAGGAGCCTGTGACGACGTCTCAGGCCAGCAGGCGGCACTGACCCTAAGGAAATCAGGGGGGCCCTGGGGACAGGTCAGGCCACACCAGGGCTCTGATGACCCCACCCCTCCCTTTCCCCCATGAGTGCGGGTGTGCGAGCTGTGAGAGTGAGTGTGTGCGTGCTCAAGGAAGGAGGATCTGGCCCACCCAGGAGGTGCGTGATGTCTACACCAGGACCAGCCTGGATGGTGGTGGGACCTTGAGAGTCATGGCCGCTCCCTCTTGCCCCAGCTCGGTGCTACCCAGCAGGTGTGTCTGCTTGCTCCCAGAAGGTGCTCTGTGTCCAGGAAACTGAGGAGGCCCAGGGAGTGCATTTCAGCGACAGGCCTCCCTCAGCCTAGTGTGGGATCCCACCCAGAGCAGAGCCCAGTTTGAAGCGCACCCCCAACATTGAGCTTGCTGCACATGTCCATAGGAACTGGCTGGAGTCCATAAAGCCTATGGAGGAGCAGCCCAAGTGTGAGTGGCCTAGGCTGGTGCCCTGGCTTGACTGGGAGGTGTAGGGTCAGGTGCCATGGGAGGAGACCACATGGGCTGGATTTGGACCCTAAGCAGTATGACCTAGGACTTGTAGTTGCCAAGTGTAGGGAACGAGACCCCCAAGGGCCCACTATCCTGGCGGGTTGGACGCCTATAGTCACCAGGGGTCCTGAAGGGACAGGAGAATCTGTTTCTGCATATGCGGTTCCAGAGCAACAGGAGAGCCCAAGCAGGCCTACTGAGTCAGGCAGAAAATGCCCAGGATGATCCTGGTGCCTCTGAGGTCACTGAACCCCTGCACAGTCAGCCTGAAACTCCCCAGAGTTCCCCAGGAGGTCTCCAAGATGCTGAACTAATACCAGCCCTGTTGGGGAAGCCAGGCCAGGACCTACAAACTGCAGGACAACCTGGTGGGCACAAACTCACACCACCAGTTTGTGGGGAGCCAGGCCCTAGCCAGGCCCCAGCAGGGCATGCTGGCATTGGTGTGTTCATACCAGCCCCACTGCGCGAGACAGGTATAGGGCAGGATGCTTCAGGAGCTGCCCAGTGTGGGCAGTTCACACCCCCACTGCTGGGGCAGCCAAGACAGGAGCAGGAGCCCGCAGGCTTGATTGTATTGTTTTTGATATTCTTCTTTTTTTATTTTTTACATCATTTTTCACTTGCAAACACTCTTTGCTTCCCCCTCACCCCATCAGATACAGTCCCCTAGAGTTTCCTTCTGCAAGGCACCCGTGCACCATCACCGCAGTCCCCTGTGCTCCTCCCTCCCTCCCTCTGGTCCTTCTTCTGCCTCCTCCCCTGCAGGATGTCTCTGATTAAGGCCTCTGACTTGGGATCCTGCACACTTCTTTGAGGATTCTGAGGCAACAGGAGTATTGCAGGAGGAACCAGACAATGACCAGCCACCTCTGGCCAACATCCTGAAGGTTCAAGAGAGGGTTCTAAGCCAGCAGCAGCCCTGCCTGGGGAACCAGCCCCTGCAGGGATCCTGCAGCAAAATAGAGGGTGCTCACCTGACACCACCCCTCCAAGGACACAGCCTATGGCCCTGGACCTGCCTGTCCACATCCAATGCAATTGGTGCCTCCACTCAGCACTGCTGACCCCAAACCTGTCCTCGCCCTCCTCCCTAGCCACATGCCTTGTTTAGCTTCTACCGTGTCTCCACCCAAAACAACTGGATCTTGTCTTGTTCAAAATCTTTTGGTTTTAATTGTTTCAAGTTGAGGTTTCATTTTCTTTCCATTCAGGTTTCTGGTTCATTGTGGAAATACTAATAAAGTTTGTTTCATTTCACTCAAGTTGTCTAATGCTTTGAAGTCCAGTCTCTTCATAGGCCTGGCCTCCTTTTACTTGCAGAAAATCATCTCCCCAGTGGAAACACTTTAGCCAAACCATTCACTTCCCTGGCCCTTCAATTCCTGATGCCCTCACCTGCCTGCTGCCTCTGTTGCTAATCCTGCGGGGGGATTCCCAGCGAAGGAACCAAATAAGTTGTCATTTTAGGAATTTCCCAAATACACAATTTTTTTAGAGGTGGTATACATGGAACATGTAAATTTGGGGTTGTTGGGCCTTCATGGTAGCCTAGGGGTAAAGTCATGAGGAAAGTCATGAGGAGCCTGTGTCGACATCTCAGGCTAGCAGGCAGCACTGCCCCTAAGGTAACTATGGGGACCCTGGGGACAGGTGAGGCCAGGCCAGGGCTCTGATGCCCCCACCCCTCCCTTTCCCCCTTTGAGTGTGGGTTGCAAGCTGTGAGAGTGAGTGTGTGCGTACTCAACGAAGGAGGGTCTGGTCCACCCAGAAGGTGTGTGATGTCTACACCAGGGTCA